GCAACAATCATGTCCTTTATCTGCTGTAAGGTTTCTGTCTGTGAATTCTCTGAAGTTTCGCTGTTATTTCTGACTGTTGGTCTGACTGAGGTCTGTTTATGCTAACGTTAGAGTCGGAAACTGAAGCCTGTTTGGACTTTACCGGAGACTATTTAGACTGTTTATCTGTGATTAATTAAACTATTATGTGAATTAAGTCGTCAGTTTTCATGTTATGTTAATAAAAATATCTTTCGCTTTGAGGATGATCCCTTATAAAGTGTTACTCTGTATCATAGGGAGCTAGTTAGCTAACCTAGATGTTCACAGAGTAATAACAACAAAACTGCTGCTTTTATCAATGTGTTTGATTATTGATCATAAAGTATTTTTACTGTGAAGTGTGAGGAAAGCTTGGTTGACGATCTAAAAACGTGTCTGTGGTGCAAAACTAATAAATAAAGAAGCTAATGAAAACACAAACATTACCCTCAGACTCCCGAGCTCTTCACCTCTGCAGCTCAAAGATAATGTTTATGTTCATTTTCATCTTTATAAGTTATTTATCTCTACAAAGGTTAGTTTTAAATCAGTAGGGATGTAAAGACAGCTTTGTTTAGTGCTTCTTCTCCGTTTATTGCTGAAGTTTCTCACCTGTATTTGTCCCAAACAGGCTCCAGGGGGCATCGCGACCCCTCAAGTCTACGCCCAGCTGCTGGCGCTTTATTTACTCCATAATGACATGTAAGTTCACTCTGAGGCTGATTCTACAGGAGCTGACTGCTGTTGATTGATCGACTGAAGTTTATTTCAAATATGCAAACCAAAAATATAAAAAATAAGGCAAAACATTGAAACATAAAACATAGAAACACATATTTGAAAAGGAGTGAGAAGAAGATGAATGAGCGAACACAGAAAATGGTTTTTAGTCAATAATAACCATAATAATAATACCAATATTATTATTGACCAGATTTGTCCAACACTTTGAGAAACAAAGGTTTACAAAGTGTTTTGACGGACAAGCAAAGTATACATAAAAACAAAGCACATTCAACACATTAAATTCAGTTTGATTATACATATGATTCTGGTAAACTACAGGAGCTGCTGTTTGTTAAGTTGTATCACTGTCTTCATCATCTTCTGCTCTGTTACTGCCTGCATCTTTAACTTTTGTTTTCTTTGTTGTCCCAACAGGAATAACGGCAGATATCTCTGGAAGAGGATTCCCCAAGCTATCAAATCGGTAGGACAATGCTCCATTTCTAAAACTTTCAAGTGATGTAGACGTGACACCTGAATGAATGTTTGACTTTAACAGTCCTGCTTGAGCTGCTTCTTTAAATTACTATATTTCCTGATACCTAACTTGATAATATTTCACATCTAGTGATTTTATTTCAAGTTAAAAGTATTCCTTTTCATGTGTCTGATTTTCCTGACTCACAGTGACTTCTTTCTGGAACAAAAGCCTCATATCTTAACAGTGCACTTACAGAAAGGATGAGCTCCCATGATTTTATAGCTTTGGTATTCGGGTGTGACTGCTCTTAACAGTAGCTCGATAAACAAATGGAGCAGGCTGGGGGATTTTGAGATGCTTCTCCTCTTGTTGTTTGCAGGCAAACCCTGAATTAGCAGCTATCTGGGCAGTCGGCCAGCGCATTTGGCAGCGCGACTTTCCAGGGATCTACACAACCATCGCAGCCTACCAGTGGACGGAGAATATTCTTCCAGTCATGGAGGCTCTTCGAGGTAACAACAACAACAACACAATCAGGAATCATGGCTCCTCTCACCTCTCACACTTCTCACTTCACATGTCATTTAGCTGTCTGGATCCTAAATCTGAACCTTTGGAGAATACTTATTGATTATTTATCAGAAACAGCTGCACACTTTAAAACTTTTATTCCCTCTGTGAGGTTTGATCAACAGGGGGCGCCACCAAAACACAGCTGTGATGCAACCCGAGATCCTGATAAACAAAATTAATAGAAAACACAGCTTTGAAGTGACAGTCGTATGTTGTCCTGTACTATGATCTCCTGAAGAGCTAGTTCATGTTGTGACATCAAGATACTCGGGATTGGATGTCAGATCACACCCTCGAGTCCTTGGACTGAAACTCTTTCATCCTGTAACTGAATATCGAAACATTTCAGCCATGTTCTGATCCAGACTTGTTATTTTTTTTCGTCTGTTACATAATTTTGATAAAAATCCAACACCCCTGCATGAATTTATTGTCCTCATGCTCAGTCGTCAGGGAACTTGTACCCTGTGATCTTGTGCAACAGTTTAAGAATAGCTTTTCCCTCATGTTTACGGTACTTTGTGTTGATGTGCGCAGCAGACACTTACGACAGCATGTCATAAGACCCTTCATTGATCGTAACTTCGAGGTGAGTGCAGAACATAACAAAAAAACACTCATTTTGAAGGTCAAAATGAAGCAAATTCTGCAAAAAACAAATGTGATACTGCCGATATTCTCGGGTATTTATTGTGGTTTACTTTTGATTTGCAACTTTTCGCCATTTTCTGCACAATGAAAACATTTGCAGTTTATCTAAACGATCATATTAGCAATTAGGGAGTTTAAAACACCTCAAAAGTTATCTAAAAAAAACACCAAGTGAAGAATATATACACATTTTAATTTCTGCCCCAGGTGTGTTTGACATTTTCTGAATTTGTCCGGTAGATGTCCGAGCTTTAGGATATACAGGAACAAAGAAAAGTTGACCATAATTAAAATGGAACATAAATTAAAGACCTAAAGTTGTGAACAAAGTTTTCAGTATCAATATAAAAGGTTTATTTGAATTATTATACATCAACATAACATAAAAACACAGTAAACAAAACAGGTTACATGACAGATACATGACAACAACCTCACGGAGGAAAAGTGGTGAAACAACTCGAGCGTCACAGGATGTTGACATAGAGTTGTTTACACATTGGACCGAGTTTCCTATACGAAGAGGTCACATGGTCCAGGTGGCCTCTGCTCAGCCGCCGCCTGTGTCACTGTTCGAGGGGACGCAGCGCCCACTGGGACATGTGACACATGCCGCCCCAGAGAGGAGGGGGCCATTTCTGTGAAAACATCCCAAGGCAGCCAGAAGGGAGGAATGTGTGCTCTGGTTGGTGGACAGGATCAGATATCACCAGCTGTGAGGAGCCGCTATAAAGGAGCGAGCTGCTAAGTGTCACCCAGAATAGATATCAGCTCTTCAACAGCACACACCGAGGGAAAGACCGGAGAGTCTGCCCTTCATTTAGAGACCGACCCACAAAGACAAAACTGAGTCTGATCTCCAGAACCGGGACATTTCTACTGGTTTGAACTGCAGACAGACTTTCCCACCATGGACATCCAGAGGACAGGATCTATGGTGCGGCCTCCCAGCCCCATGGACAGCCTGGAGAAGCAGCTGAGCTGCCCCATCTGCCTGGACATGTTCACCAAACCGGTGGTCATCCTGCCCTGCCAACACAACCTGTGCCGCAGTTGTGCCAGTGACCTCTACGACTCACGCAACCCCTACCGCTTTTCCGGAGGCGTCTTTCGCTGTCCCACTTGCCGCTTCGAGGTCGTGCTTGACCGCCATGGTGTTCACGGGCTGCAGCGCAACCTGTTGGTTGAAAATATCATCGACATCTACAAGCAGCAGCAAGAAGGTAACAACACCAACACTGAGACGACCCTGAAGCCCAAAGAATCCAAAGAGCCGATGTGCCAAGAACACGAGGATGAGAAAATCAACATCTACTGCATGACCTGCCAGGTCCCCACCTGCTCCATGTGCAAAGTGTTTGGTCAGCATAAAGACTGTGAAGTGGCGCCTTTAGCCAGCGTTTACCAGGCCCAGAAAGGTGAACTGAGTAATGCTATCGATACCCTTGTGGCCAGCAACGGGCGCCTGCAGTCCTTACTCAACCAGATGGAAGACTCCTGCCGCTCTGTGCAGGACAACGCTCAGCGTGCGAAGCAAGGGTTAGCCGAACGCTTTGACCTGCTTTACGCCGTCCTGGAGGAGCGCAAGACCATCCTGCTGGAGCAGATCGGTAAAGAGCAAGATGAAAAGGTGGCGGCTCTGCGGGCCCTGGCTCAGCGCTACGGCGAACGCCTGCAGGCCAGCACAGAGCTCACAGACACGGCTGTGAGGGCGTTGGAGCAGGGCGGCGCCGCTGAGTTCCTGTTAGCCTCCAAGGGCCTCATCACACAGACCAAAGATGCCGCCAAGAACTCTCTGGGAGAGGAGAGGCCAGAGCCGGGCTTTGAGAAGATGGACCACTTCACGGTGTCAACAGAGCTTGTTCAAGCGGTCCTGTCAAAAATGGACTTTGGAGTGGCTGATGATGATGAGTTTGAGGACGCAGAGGATGAAGACGAGGAGGAATAATGAGAACTAAAGTGATTTTGGACTCTTAGGAAATACTGTTTTATGTATTTGCAGGGACTCTGCCTTTATTTTGAATAGTTACGTAAGGTTAAGGTGGATTGGGCTGAAATGACGCCCCTTCCTTTAAGTGCAATATGTAATTTCAATCTTGTACTTTTTCTTAAATGTCTTTTTATACTTTTGTACTTTTTGTCTGTTTAATGAGAAGAAAAGATCTGGAGTGTCAGTCGATCGCTCACACATGATTTTCCTCATTCGTAGCTTATTGAAATAGCGATGTGTATTTCTCTCACTTTGTTTGTGTTGAAACGGTGATCAGCTGATCTGTTTTCACCCAGTCTGTCTTTGATGAAACGTGGAATAAAGCTGCATGAAGTCAATCTTCTATTTCCTTTCTTGCTCAGTTAGATAATTATCCGGTTTTATGGTCACAGAGGACTCAAACATGACGACTTGGTGTTATTCTGGTGGTATAGATAGGAGTGCTCTCATCCAAATGTCCCTCAGTCTGCTGCTGCTCTTACTTGGCAGCGGGCTGTATGTAAAAATAAAAGCCCTTGCCCTGTCTGCTTTGCCTTTGCCGGTGAAAAGTGGCGGCTATTTTTAAGAGGTGAGAGGGTGAGAAATGATAGCAGCCCTGGAATAGACCGTGAGGGAAGGACAGGCCAGGTCCTGTTTCTCCTCCATAAAAACTCCCATCCTCCCACTCATGGACGTCTTGCTCAGCAGCTCCAACCCAACTCTGGAGTGTCAGAAAGCTAAGCTAAGAAAGGCCGGTCCAGCTGCCGCACAAGTCATCTCCTAGCGGTCAAAAGGCCAAGGTAAAAATACACATCCGCCTGGGGACTGAGTTTCAAAAAGCCCCTCGAGATGACCTGCTTGGCTGTGAGCAACATTTACACTCTGCCCTCTTTTCTCATTCACAGCCAGGTGCTGGAAAGTTCCTCAGAAAAGTTTTATTCAGTTTTTATACGAGGCTCTGTGAAGCAGGTGTTCAGGTCTTTTTGACCTGAGCCTTTTTACAGTCAGGAGTTAAGTCAGGATTAAAGACCTCAGGCTATAAAAAGGTCTGAAAGTAGTCCAGTGGACGAATCAGCTGGCACTTTGGAGAGTGACTCCAATAACCGCCATGTGCGCCAGCTGAAAGTGCTCTTATCGCCGATGACAGGCTCGTGTGAATATTCCAACTGTCTGACAACAATGCAGAAAATAAACCGACTCCAACTTTATCGTAACTTTTATTCTACAAATTCTCCAGAGGATTTAAGTCACGCTTGTTTGACCATTTTACAACAAAACAGATTCAAATAAAGAAAACAAAACAAGCTTGTAAAAGCAAAAAGAGCAAAACAAAAACACCCAATAAAAGATGTTAACATGTACAAAATAGAGGAAATCTTAAGCGTGCACGACCCGGACAAGTTATATTTGGGCTACATTAGTTGTCTAAATCTTAAGCATCCATATCTCAGACAAGTTATATTTGGACTACATTATTTGTCAGGATAACCTTTTATTTTTATCCATTTTTTATTACAAAGGCAGCTCACAGCTTACCAAACTAAAATGTTGACTCAGTGATAATCCGATGAGAAAGTGTTTTAACTTAAATATATAGAAACATGACACTTAAAAATGAAAAATTTATAACAGCCTTTTAGTACCAAAATACACACAACTATTCACAAATAAGTAGAAGTACGAGGTGTGTTGGTTCTGAGTTAAGCCATGATAAAATGGATTCACCTTCATTGTGGATAAGTTGACCTTGTTGCAGTTTCATATTTATTAATTTGAGTCTGTTCAGTCCAAACAAACGTAGCTTTATAAACCAGCAGTATTTTATTACGAACCCGTTTACCTTCCTCAAAACACTCAAACAAACTCTGGTGACTAAACACTTTCTCCGTGCGCTGACCCTCACAGTGACCCACTCTGAGCTCTCTCTGAACTTCTTGAGCTGGTTTTGCTGACTTTTTTTTCCCATGGTGTCCTTTCTCTAATCTTGTGCCGTACTGAAACATCCGTTTGAGTCTTTCAGTGACTAAAACGATCATATTTGCTGTTGGCTCACTAACACACACACATACACAGCCTTGAAAATTACATTGCAGCCATCACGGCTCTTTTTGCAGCAGCAGCCTAAAGTGATCTGCTGGAGCGTTTCCAGAACTTTTATACCCATTAGTCATTTGGATCCAGAGACAGACAGAAATAGTCCACAGGGTTAAAGGGGAATCCCCCTATTTACTGATGGGATATTAATTCAGAGAAAAGCGACTCAGTCGAGTTTACATCTGAAGTCAGTCACGAGTGAGAAGACAACTGCAGAAACAAACAATAGCAGGAGTCTTTCTGAGCGCATAATCCAAGTTGGCCTTAATTACCACAGTGAAGGGTGCAGATATCACCTTACAGACCTGACTTTGATTAAAAATAACTCATCTGTATCATCATTAATACAGAATCTTTTTCTTGACCTGATTCTCCTCCTGAGTATTTTCAGTCCTCCTGTTTTTAGACCGAACAAAAGCAGAGAGGAGCAGGAAGCCGGTCCGACAGCAGAAGGAGAAACTCTCCTGACAAATCTGTGGCCTTCCCCCTCACAGCTGTCTTTTCTCATCCCCATGACTTGTTATTGTTACTGCTGCTCGCTGCTGCAACAGACCGTGGGCTGACTGTTAGTACACATAAACTGTTGCTAGGCTATAAAACACCAAAGGCCGCAACCCAGAGGCATTTATGTGATCGCTGCAGGAGCTGGAGAGGCCGATAGAAGCGAGGCCCGTCACTCTTAATGCTCCAATCTCCAGTCACTGCAGCACCATGTCAGGTCCATGTCAGGTCCAGCCTGATAAATGGGACAGGAATTTGGGAAGTCCAGGTCAGGAGCTGCTGATAAAGACCTCAGTTGTTGGTTGTATAAGCATTACACAGCATATATCCATGATTCACCTTCAGCATGCTTCATTTAACAGGATCTGTTTTTAAGTGTTTCATGATTATGGAAAATCTTAATCACTTTTTTAACTCACGGTCAAACCAAACAAACGCGATACACCATTTACTTTAAACAAACCCAGATGCTGAGAGTGATTGAGAAGGAAAACCGGAGACTCACTTGTATTTATTCCTCTTGTTTTTGTTACTATGTGCAAGTGAAAGAGGACCTTACAGGAGGAGATGACTTCATAAACCCAAACAGATTCACAAAACAGACCTTACAAAGCAAAAAAAGTAGGACATAAAAGTTTCAGTCCTCCAATGTTTCAGCACCAAAAATCTCTCTAAGGTTTAGTAGGTTCAGTGTTTTTTCTATAAATTAAAAGAGAGTTCCTGTAGACACTTCAAAAGTTAAAAAAAAGTCTCAAACTGTTAAAATTAAACATCTTTTAACATGTTATTTAGGCCTTAAATTTATTTGAGACATGTCTGGACACCTGTGTGAACTGTGAAACCTGCTGTTGTACAGTTAGCATCCTTATTTCCCTCCATTTGAGTGCTGAACAGATCTTTTTTTAATTTATCATTATACGAATTATATCAGTGCAGTAAGACAAGATCTGATTCATTAAAGATCAGCTTTTAAACAACCTCTTGTGAAGTCTTAATTTAGCCTCAGCTGGGTTAGCCTGAGTGTATCAGAGTAGAATTTGATATCTGGTCCTATAGGTGCCAAAACAACCTATAAGGAGGCCATGAGAATATGTACAAGATTGTAACAACAACAACAACAACAATAATAATAATAATAACTTTATTTTTATAGCACTTTTAAAAACAGAAGTTTCCAAAGTGCTTCGACAAACAGTCGTAAAAACACAGAACATCAGCACATGGAAATAAAAACAAATAAAAACAAACGCTCAGTGAAAAACAAGTCCTCCGAATTGAAGGCCCATTTTATTTGTCATAAGGAACCCAGACAATACAAGAACCCTACAACATAAAATGAGACCATGAGGACCAAAATAAAAACATAAAATAGGTAAGAAAAAGATATATAATAAAAAAGGGGGGTAGAAAGCAGAAAACAGGATAGCAAATATAAAAAAGACGATGTTAATAATGATAATAAAATCATAAAACAATAATGATGGTAATAGTAATGATAAAATGGAAAAACAAAATTGAGCAGGAAAAAACAATAAAATTAATAAAAGGTTAAATAAAAAAGATTAAGTAAAATAAAGGCTAAAAAACCAGTAAGTTGAAATAAGACAGAGGTAAAAGAGAAACGACGGCGTCACATAAAAGAAGTCTGTGAAAGTGAGTGAAGCGATAACTCTTTGTGTGACAGAGAAGTTTTTAAACAAGCGCCTTCAGACCCTCAAACTTGACAAATGATGTTCCACAGAGCAGAACATAAAGCGCCGTCGCTCATTAGCAGCCCTGTTTACATGAATCTCAATAACATGCTTACTCATATGATATGCCGTTCACGTGTCTGCGAGTCGTCTGCATCTGCTGCTGTTTACAGTATGAACTTTAAATAGACGCAGAGCGCAGTTTCAGCATGTCTGCTCTCCATGCATGTTGGTGTCTGATATGAACTCCTCTGTGGTTCATGTATCCTCCACAGAAAGCACACGGCAAAGAGCCTACAGTCTAGTGGCCCAGGCCTACACCTCCATCACAGCAGAGGACTTTGCTGCCTTTGTGGGGTACTCTGTGGAGGAGGCGGTCAAGGGTGAGAAAAGGATTTTAATTGGTGTATAATGAATTAAAAGACTGTAAATACATTTGGTGACTCACTCTGTCTTTGTCTGTAGGTGTAGTGAGCCAAGGCTGGCAGGCAGACCCTGCCACCAGGATGGTGATGCCCAAAAAACCAGGTAGGTGGCAGTGTTGCTCTTCTTTTGCCCCCAAACTTTAATCCTCCTGAGTAATCCTGCACCACTTTTGTTCTGCTCATCCTCCTCGATTTTATTGGACAGGCACTTAAAGTTAAGAGCGCGGATTTAAAGGTCAGGTCGATGTAAATTGAAGACAGCTTTTTCTTATGTCTAACGTTCTCCCGTTCCTCTCCTTTTTTCTCATGCTTCAGTTACATAATCTTGTTTTCATACCATCACTTATTACGAACCCTGAGACTCGTGGATTGATCCGTCTTGTTAGAGAAACTCACAAATACTTCTGATGGAGGTAGTGGACGATCTGTCTGTCCCTCATTTATCATCGATTTTCAGCCTGAAGCATCTGCTGTGCACATGTCCAGCAGAAGAAAATGCTCACTCACCACTAACCCACACAGGCCTGCTGTTTCCCCCCTCTCAGCAGCGTTACCAGGACTTTACAGTGCTTGGCAACTCTAGTTGTGGAGTGGATCTCATACAGGAAATCATTCTGGTCGGGTTAAATGCAAAGTGTTGTAATGATCTCCAGGCAGCATGTCTCACGGTCGGGTTGGAGGAGGCTGTAGGTAGAATTGTTGAACAGTTTTGGGGGGGAGGTGGACTCAGATGTGGAGAAGTGTGAACCCACAGCCTGCTGAGTCTCTCTGAGTTAGCACACATGGGCTGCAGCCACCGAGATGTAAGAAGATGGATGGTCCCTGGCAGAATGAGGAATCCCCCTCTGACTCAACCTCTCCTCCTCTGTCTCTCTCTCTCTCTCTCTCTCCTTCTCTCTCTCTTCCACAGATCCTCCCCCTGTCTCATTGGTTCCAAATGAGCAGCAGTTGGCCAGACTTACTGACTACGTGGCTTTCCTCGAGAACTGATAACCCGCTTCAACCACTGCCACTCATTTTTTGATTGCTCAGTTCTGAGGGAGAACACAAGTTTGGATAGATGCTTCCTCCCATGTACTCCCTGATAAAGACGTACCGAGAACACACACACACACCCATCATCCTGCATGAACGAGGCGACGAGACCTGCCTCTGTATGTTCAGTGACTCGCATAGATTTCCCACATCGACCTCTGTTTAAACCACATTTAGGATCTGATCTCAAAGATGGACTTTAACACACTTCACCGTCTTTTTATGACTAACTGAACACATCCTCCCTCTGCGATTTAGATACACAAGCTTGTGTGCAGATTTTTTTCCTTAAGTACTTGAAGGTTGCCTGGAAACAGACTTTTCCAGGTAGCTGAAGTCTTGGTAAGCATGCATCACAGTGGATTTCAGTCTCCAGACCTCATGTTTTGAAGTTGTTTTGATTGGTTAATAAATATTTTCTTGTTTCTAGAACATAGTCTTTTCTTAATTTTTTGGTTGTTTCATCACCTCTAGGATACAAGCTTGCCATTTTACATGGCCCAACATGAAGAAATCTCACATATGTGGACTAGGGTTGGGCGATACGGGGAAAAGTTTATCTTGATATATTTTTTCATATCAGCCGACATCGATATAGATCATGATACAAAAAATTAATTTAACAGTGTTTAATGGTAGCAGGTCTTTTCCAATACGATCATCTACTGCATCTGTGAGGTCTTTTTGTCTCTTTGACGTTTTGTCGTAAGGCGTTGCTCTAGAGAAAGCAGACTGAATGGTCGCTCGGTGTTTGTAACCTTTTGCGTTGCACATGCTCTGCCGTGTGGCGCTGCTTCAGGTGGTGAAAAAGATTTGTATTCCCCGACTTTGTGAGAACATGTACTCGACATAATTTACAGTCCACATTACTCTGCTTCTGCGTCACCTGTTAAAGTGCTATGGTTGCTGTTCTACGCAGTTGTTTGCTACTTCGTTCTAATTCAGCACGATTGGTTCAGCGCGACGCAGACCCGGAGCAACTCTATAGCCACAAATAATGCTCACTTCATCAACAGTACATATAGGGTCCCAGCCATCAAACATCTTTTTAACTTTAGCGAACAGATTAAACACAACTCACCTACTCTCTTCCAGCAGCCGCATGTTTGTACGGAGACCTCCGGGTGAGTCCATCGACTGCAGCGGGGAGACGCAGCTCAAGGAAGAACATTTATGATCATTTCTTCATGAAAATACAATCAGACAGAGACGCTAAGACAGAAGAACTACTGCGTCTGCAGAGCAAAATGATTAATATGATGATTATTACTTCAAGGAAATGATAAAGTAATAGCTATAAATGTTCTTCCTTGAGCTGCGGAGGTCTCCGTACAAACAAGCCGCTGCTGGAAGAGAGTGAGTAGCATGACACTGACAGTTCTGAGTCCTAAAGACTGAGATTGTTCCAGACTTTATGCTTCAAAACTTCGGCCCACAAACCATTGGTCTATGTCACACTGGCTTCCTATGTACAGTCCTTGAAATAACCACATGAAACTTTAGTGTATGTGCTGGAAAAATGAATACATTGCAAACGATCGCAACATTGAAAAACTCTATTATTCGAAGGACCATTTTATCACCTTTTAAAGTCTTTAACCAGCCTAAATAACATGCCTGAAAAGTGATGGACATGTCATTGTTTGCAGAAATATCTGGCTGCCACATGTTGATCGGAGCCTCTGGATAAATATCTGGCTGTGATTCCTCCGCCTCTGTAGTTTCCTCTGTTTCCTGTTTAGATGGAGAAGATGGAGCATACATTTCTCTACACTTTGATGTTATTTCATCTGCAGTTCAGCTCAGAAAAAAAGAGGAAGCCGCGGACAGTTGATGTGATTTAGTGTGAAACCACAAACAATCAGAGACTTTCTTTGCATGAAATGGATAACAGACGCCTATAATGCAAAGACTGAAGCTGGGATTTTGTTTATGTTGCTCTTATAGTTTTTTTCCTCAGGTCTATTTTAGTGAGTGGGCTTTATGTTCTTCATGTAAAGGTCAAAAAGGTGATTTTATTCTGTTATTATCTCTGCAGCTGCTTCTATTACAGGCTTAATTTATCCTCCTCCGTACATGGACACGGTACAGTACAAGTTTGTACACTTTCTGTGGGCCTATTCACGTGTTGGCTCGAACCCATGTCCAGGCATGTGTTGAACCAGCGTTGGCGCAATGACAGCGGCGCGTGCCACAGTCAGCAGCAGCAGAGAGTGTGCGCGTGAGAAGGTAACAGATCCTGATGACCCCGAGACTGTCTCAGAGGTAGGAGGCTAAATTTACCCGCAGAGACCCGCACTCTTGAATTAAGCAGACTGATGAAATGCTGAGCTGATGTTGATGTAGAGACTGAGGTGGGTCGGTGCAAAAATACTCTGTAACTGTAGATCCGCTTCGTTTGTGTCTGAGGGACATGTGCACGAGGTCTGTTTACACCGCTTTGTCTCAACTGGTTTAAAGCGGAAATAAAAACACAGAAGATGAGTTTAGACACAATAAGTGTCATAAATATCACAAATTAATCAAGTATATAGTTGCACCGAGATCTACTGTACTTTTTCCATGGTGTACATGGCCGGTTAGCTCAGTTGGTTAGAGCGTGGTGCTAATAACGCCAAGGTCGCGGGTTCGATCCCCGTACGGGCCAATAATTATGTTACTGTCACTGCAAGTTGGGTGAGGAGATGTTACCGGTGTGTTAATTGACAGTCTATATGCAGCATATCGACATTGACCATAGACCATCTTCCTCCTCACTGGGTAAAGTCCATAGACTGTATATAAGATGGACAGAGGCTGTGTCCGAAATGGCCTACTACTCCTACTACTCCTACTAACCCCGCCTCTGAATTGAGTATTCACACTGTACAGTATGCGAATTTTGTGTATGCGAGAAATGCCCGGATGTATACTCAATCGGCTTCGATTTCTGAGTGTGCAACGGAGCTTGCTTCAGTACTGCTTCTGCCCCACAATGCATTGCGCACCTCAGCTGGTAATATGGCCCTCCTTCCCGAGGCTGAAAAGAAATAGATGGCATGTGATTGCAATAATAATGATATATATATAAATAGATAAACAATATTTAGTCCGTATACATTACACAATTTTCATCATTTTATCATATTTTGATCTTTTTACCGGATTTATTTGTATTTTAAATTAGGATTATAGGCAATGTTTTTAACTATTCGTATGAATTGACTTTATTTATTTAAGTGTCTATTAAAGATGTATTTATTACATCAAGTTTGAGCATCTTCTCATCTCTGAATGCATCATCAAAGTGGTCGCTCATATTAAGCACAGACCTCTGATTAATAAAAATTATCTTTGGTAGAGAGCACATGGTTCAGAATATACAAACAGGGGAGTTTCCAGTTGACAATCTATGTGAGCTTTACTAATTCTTACTTGTGATTGAAAATCTGATGGTTTCTGAAATTATCATTGTACATGAAAAGAATGTAGTCGGGAAATGATGTATTTGCCAAGGAATAACCGAACAAGGTCATAATAATTATGTTGTGTGTTGGTCATTTTGCAGCCCTCTGCTGCTCATCACACGGCCAGCAGGTGGTGTATAGCATTATCACCATGGATACACGGATGTTTGGGTGATTTTTTTCATCCACTGCCGCCCGGTTTGTGTCGTGTAGATGGTGATGATGAAAACACTTCGCAATAATTTGGAAACGTGAAGGGGGGGCTGCTGACGCAAACACCGACCAAGTGGACGCTTCGGTCTCCGAAAACGCCGAGACAAATTTACAAACAGCCACTATTTCAAACAACTGGGCTCATAATCGTGATGTAAACACTTACTTTCTCGCTAGAAAAAAATATTATTATTGAATGAATTTATATAATTTGTCCGGGATGCAGTCGTTCTGTGTGGCTTGTGGTAGGACTATTTAAATTTTCCCGGCGCTGCGTCCGGCCGGCACGAAATGCATTCTGGGGTATTTAGTATGTATGTGTGTAAACGCTCGGGCAGCCGCGGCATACTCAAATCCTCTTTGAGTAGTCAGTAGGCAGTAGCTACTGCTTGAGTAGGTAAGTAGATAGTAGGCAGTATGCCATTTCGGACACAGCCAGAGTCTGCCTCCTCGCTGGGTGAAGCTACTCAGAGAACAGCACCCTCTGATGGTGGGCTGCAGTACAGGTCATAAATCCCGCCTCCGCCAGCAAAGCTAATGGGACTGTGGACAAACTTTAGAAATTTATTACACAGAACATAAATTTTTCTCCCTCCTGATTGTGATGTTGACATGAAGTTACAGTAAGACTGGTTTGTGCTCAAAGTCCTTTTTTTTTTCTGTGAAGCTCCGTTTTTAAAAGTTATTAGGGGGTTCATGATTTCTGTGATTGACACCTGACACAGCCAATGGGCCTTCAGGGATTGCGTAGTTCACCCGGGGGATACGCTGTTTGAGCCGAGAGTCATCACAGCGACTCTCTACTGCGCAGCTGGTTTCAGGAAATGAAGAAAAATCCCGGAAATACAGAGAGCTTTTTGGCTTCAAATCCATATAAAGGCGGTAGGCGGAACCAAGTGGTCCATAGTATATACAGTCTATGGTTTAGACACAATAGAAATATCATAATTATACGAATTTACCAAATAGATACTTGCAGTACAACTTTCTGTATTTTTTCTGTATTGCATAAGGCCGGTTAGCTCAGTTGGTTAGAACGTGGTGCTAATAACGCCAAGGTCGCGGGTTCGATCCCCGTACGGGCCAATAGTTATGTTACTGTCAGTGTAAATTTGGCAAGGAGATGCTACCTGTGTGTTAATTAACAGTCTCTATGCAGCATGTCTACATTGACAGCAATACATCCAAAAACAGTGACATGAAAACTTTGTCACCTGCTGTGCAACCAGAAAGATCAGAAGGTGATATTAAAAATACAGGAAATAAATGAGAAGAAAATTTAAATTAGAAGTTTGAAAGGTCAAAATTTTCCCGATTTTTCTCCAGTACTTGAAACCAACATTGCGCAGCAGTGTTGTATACACTTCACCACTTGCGCAATTGCATTGTACGCATTTGGAGGGAGAGTCGCCAAAAGTTGCTGCGATGACGCTCGTGCAAACAGCGTATCCCTCGGTGAGCTATGCAATCTTCATACCCCTATAGGCTGTATCAGGTGTCAATAACAGAAAACACGAACCCTCTAACAACTTTTAAAAATGGAGCAGTACAGAAAAAGAGGACTTGAGCACAAACCAGTCTGACAGTAACTACATGTCAACATGTTTGTCCACAGCTCCATAAGCTAGGAAGGCTAGATGACTTGAGGCGGAGTCACCGGCGTCCCTACACGGCAGCCATCTTACTCCAGTATACGATTCTGGAACTGACGGAAGGTGAGTAATCTGCATGATCAAAAAAAAATCGCTGAAATCTTGACAGATTTACGAATGGTTTGGTTTATTACAGACCTTAATAACGTGGCTATGAGTCGGGATGCTTGGACATATAGAAATGGCAGATTTACTTTGAGAAAAAAAAAAGATTTAATCGTAAAGTACAGTTGTTTCACAGCTATCTGCGCGCAAGGGCTAACTTTGGGTAGCTTTGCACAAGTTGTCAAGGCTCAGACCACAATCGAGAATTTAATTTCTTTTAAGACAGCCTTTTTAAAATGTATTTATTTAGTCCAAGTGACAGCTTTTGTGGATGTGCTTGTGTTTATTAGCTGTCCCTTCACCAAATAAATACTTACGGCGAGATATTCTGTGCTTTCTCATAGCTGCACATGGCCGGTTAGCTCAGTTGGTTAGAGCGTAGTGCTAATAACGCCAAGGTCGCGGGTTCGATCCCCGTACGGGCCAATAATTATGTTACTGTCACTGCAAGTATTGTTAGTAGATCTTACAGTGTGTTAATGATAGTCTCTGTGCGATGTGTTGTTGACAGTGACACTAAGAATACGACATTACCAAATCTGTATCACCAACTGTACAACCTAGATATTTAAGGGTTTTCAATGATTCAGATCTGCACAACAAGCTGGTCCAGTTTTAAATATTTCTACCAGTGAGGAGCATTTTGTTTTTCTTTTTTGCTGCTGAAATTACACCAGTTGAAAGAGGAAGAGGAGAAGAGTGGTTGTAACGCTCATAAGTATTTGTTATGAAGGTCATTTTGATCAATCTCAGTCTCTTATTGTCCTCAATAACTGCGGTCGCTTCGCTAATTTGAGGAGTGAGCGAGGGAGCGTTTAGATGTAGAATCTGTCGGCCAGGATGAGCCAAATATGCCAGTTCCTACACTCTATATCAAACTTAATTCAGACTTTTCTGTTTACTTACAGACCCGACAAACTCTGCAGCGTCTCATTTTAAAAATGTGAGTATATATGGTCTGTGTGGATACTAAATCAGTCTCTCCAGTGCGCTCTCTCTGCTCTTTAAAAGCCTCTCAGACTCTCACTAATAAGTAACTTGATGCTTGTGGATAACCGGCGTACTTTTACAGCTTCATATAATACATAAAATATGTCAGAGCGATGTTGTGAACCAGCTGTGGGGAAGCTTTGAAGTGAGGACACGAGGTCACTCTGCGCTCCCAGAAAAAGCTCTGAGTGTTTTTACTGCTCTGGGTGCAGCGGCCGCTTTAATATTCACATGTTGCTTCAATGAAGGAGGTTTTTTAATGGTAATCTTTGCTGCTGGTCTCGTTTATGTGTGACCTGTGATTCAACCTGATCCAGAGAAACAAACAGAAATCGTTTTATTAATAGAGTTCTTGACCTCGGGTGGAGTTTAGGTCCAAACTTGTGACATTATCAGAGCTGTGGTGTAACTTTTGTGTTGTTACTGATCACTTTTCTGGTCCTGAGAGACAAACCGCCCTCCATTAGGACTCTTTATGAATGACCTGCAGCTGTTTTCAGTCCTGACAAACACTCTTGGCTTTGCAGACGTTCATACAAATATCCTCCACATTGCAGAAAGCTCTTTCATTCACATGTTTCTCCTCCAACCTGCAGACTTTGAAGTTGCTGAGATCACTGTTTTCTTTAATTCCTAACCATCCTTTTTTTGTTTGCAGTGAGCCTCCAGATTGTTAGCAGATTATAGAAACCTGAACCCTGAAGGAAGAGGATCGACTCCATCGGGTTTGTTTTCATCTTTGGTATTTATATTTTGGTTCAGACCTGGACTGAGTCAGCAGTCAGGCATCTGCTGCACTGATTGTCACTAAGACCTTGGGGCTGCTGAAGGTGAGGTCATTTTTACCAGGGGTCAGAGGTGACTCCTGCCATGCGTCATAGCACATGCCACTGACATGATGTTATTGTGGACAGATATTGAGAGGGGGGGTTCCTGAGACCGAACAGAGGATCAGGTGATCACAGAGCCAGAAGTTTGTGCCAGAGCTTATTTAACAGACACGACAGGCTGCAGCGTAGTCCCCGATCAATCACCGTGATAGACGTGATGACAATTGAAGGAAGAGGGGCTGGACTAGACGACTCCCAGGAAGAGGATTTATGGGTTTATGTTAACGCAAACACCAGGTGGTCACCAGGTTGTTGAAGTGTATCGGCTATTTTTGACCAACCTTTCTCTTTTTTTAGTCTGTTGTGTTCGACCTTCATGACACAGTTGCCTAAGCTTGATGAACTATACCTCTGTCCAGTGTTGTGCCGGAAAGCGTTCATATTTCGGGTGAATGTGAACGTATTGTTCTTTATTTGCATGTGAGAGCGTTGGTGTTGAATGCGCTCATTCTGGCGTCTGTGAGTGGCGTAAGTGTGCCAGATGTCCAGAGTCTTCCAGGCGAAACCCCGGCTAAAACACACCGTACACAGGCCTTCATATTTAGCAGAAAGCTACCTAACCTGGCAACAGCAAAAAGCCTGACTGTCACTCCGATAAATACATCAGTCGTCATGACTTCAGTATACACGATGGACAAACTCACCAAATAAATACTTGCAGGCCAATTATGTGTATTTTTTCTGCACTGCACATGGCCGGTTAGCTCAGTTGGTTATAGCGTGGCGCTAATAACGCCAAGGTCGCGGGTTCGATCCCCGTACGTATGTTACTGTCACTGCGAGTACGGTTAGTAGATCTTACAGTGTGTTAAGGGCAGTCTCTATGTGATGTGTTTGCATTGACACTAGGAATACGACATTACGAAGTCTACATCACCAACGGTACAACCTAGATATTTAAGGGTCATAGGGACTTAGAGCTAGCTGCCCAAAGCACTGACACAGACGGTAAAAATCGAACCTTTTTGTGTAAACGTTGTCCGCCTAGTTTGAGGAAGCAAGTCCGAACAGCGACGACGTCTTTAGCAAACCTTAAACGAATATAATATCATATCACAATATCATATCATTATTGTTAATTGTTATTTTTATTTCCATTATTTGTTCTGGTTCATTTTTAGTTAGACTCAAATGGAATTTGATGTGAATTGTTTCCAGGTCGGTTTGGAAAAGTATAGAAATGAAAAAAAACTTAAGGAATACAGTCCTGTTGTTGTAATCATAATAAAGAGTCTAAAAACCATCCAAGCAGCAGGTTTTTCTCATGTTTATGAAAATAAACTCTAGAGATAAATGTTCCTACTATTGAGGACTGAACTAAACATCAGGGAAACACCAGTAATCTGAGGACTGTCCTCTCAGTGATGTTGTAAACCTGGTTGGATTAGGATTAAAAAATGGATATGAAGATTAATCTGATGTAGTTTCAGTGTTAAAACGGTTAAAATAATCGCTGTCTGTGGTTCTATATGGGGTCCGTAAAAACTCCTGACAAATAAGAGCTTTCAGCAAAGTACTGGAGAAAAAAAAACTAAATTAGTTCATTTTTGTGAACCATGAACTGAACTTTGAACTAGCTCAGGTAGAAAGTGAACTTCCCCGACACTGCCTCTGTCACATCACTCCATCTCTTTTTCTAACAACTCCAACTTCACCTCTTTTTGTCTCTGATTGTTAGTTTTGTGGATACCGCTCGCTCCGACTAAACCACATCTGTATTAGAGTCGAGCAACTCAAGTTATTAGAGTTTGTGCTGATCAGTCTGGAAAGTTTATTATCGTCACATCCTTTTAATAGCATGACTCAACAGTTTTGGCTTTGACTGAGTCAGGTGGAGACAATCTGTTGAGCAGTCTCACGTCAGCTGGAGAGGGTGCAACTGAAAGGCAAACCAGCAGGGGGCAGTCTTCTCTCAGTGTCTGCACAATCCCCCCCAGATGCCATGATACATTAAGTCTGCTGTTACCAGATACTAAAATGCATCATGGATGTTTTATAAAGAAGCTTTCATCAACAGGAACAATATTTGGATAAGAGGAGAAAAGTCGATTTCCTTGTTGTCTGATTTTTCCATCTGCTGCAGATGTGGGGGTTGTTGTTTGAGTTTTCATTAACAGCAGTAAAAAAAAAAAGAAAAAGTTCCCTCGCATCCACGGAGAAAATGTTTCCATGTGGGACAGTGAGTCATGAGCATGAGACCGAGACAAGAGTCCAAGAGGATGTGGGAGAATGAACAGAAGACGGTGATGAGAAAAAGAGGAGTGGGATCAGAGAGAGAGGAAGAGGAGGAGATGGAGCATGAGCTGGTGGGAAGAGTGAGGAGGAGAAGAGCATCACTGAGTGAGTGCCAACTGGACAAACATCTGCTGCTGCCGAGGGTGAGAGGAAAAGAAACCAGAAGTCAGATTTCTGTTAACGAAGTTTTATCCCTGAGGTCTTTGGTGGTACCAGATGACCTCTGAGGGTCTTTCCAAAACCGCCTCCTTGACTCCCTCCTCTCACACCTCCCACCTGTTTGCATCTGCCAAACTGAATCCCACCCAGAGCCTCTGAGTGTGGAGTGAAAGTGGCCAAGTCTGCACTGATGGACTGTGTCCGTCCAAGTCCCCGAGCAAGAATTGATTAACTGATGGAAGAACGTCGCCCCCTTTTTAACTCGTTACTGTGGGGCCGCCACATGTTAGCGAGAGGCTAACAGAGAGAGTGTCGAATGCTGAAACACTGTGAGTAGGAGGTGTCAGCAGATCCACAACCATGACAGATCATAGACTGAATATAGAATAGACGCCGTCTGCCTCCTCGATGGGTGAAGCCACTCTGAGAACAGCGCCCTCTGGTGACGGGCTGCAGTGTTTCAGTTTGTGGATCTGTCGTGCAGTGACCTACTCCATCCAGCAGGGGCGCAAGGAGGGTTGTGGATCAGTCACGGTTGTGGATTGAACACTGTTACCCTACAGATCTATTGATCCAGTATGTTTGGCACATCAGCTCCATTTCTTGTACGTTTCTCTAAAATCTGGTCGACAGCATATTTATGTGCTTAATCTAAAGATGTGCGGCGTTTTCAATCCAGATGTCCACCCTGCTGCCTCTCTGCAGGCAGCAGCTACGCAGGATGGCGTAACACAAACCGCCCGCTGATTTGGTCTTTAGCATCATAATTTTCCACAAATGGTCGTTTTCCCTCCTTTTTTTCAAATGCTAAAATCTCCTGCTATACGAGCGCCTCTCCTGAGAGACTCTCCCGCGTCGTTGCCAAATTCATGAGTACTAACAGAACATGCAAAGTGATTCTCATGGGCTCAGAATTGGATGCAGTCTCTGGATGCAGCTGTTTTCCAGCAGTGTGACCTCTGTAAGAGTATCCAGATAATGACCACGGGCTCCCAGCCCTCACAGCTCTCATCCAGATTTCCTAATCCTCTATTAAAAGTCCACATAGTCAGCAGGACTTAACTTGGCTTACAGTGACCGACCAACAGCCAAAACTAAAAGGGCCTTTTTAAGAGCCCAGTGTGTACCCTTCAGTCGTCGAGGACGTCACCTCTGGATTTAGTGAAGAGCAGAGATCCCAGGCAGGGTAGAGTGAGGACATGCGCTGTGTTTTCATCGTTCAGTTTACAAGTCGACTCTTAATTGAAGACAAAAGTTCAAATATGAATTCATGTTTCAAATTAAGACTTCTTCAGAGTTATATAACACTTCTCCGAACCTCAACCAGCTGCAGTTTACACTTTGTTCTTCTTCTTCTTCTTCTTCGCTGAAAGTTTCTGTCAGTTATTAAACTTTATTACAGTTCGCTTCAAAGACATTCTCCTTTTTTTTTTTTTGTTTGCTTTCAAGAACAATGGGAAACTTAAACCTCCATACTGAATGTTCGCTGTGGTCTGAGTTTCTAAATCCAGACTCTTCGTCATGGACCTCCATTGTTCTTCAGACACTTCATAAAGGCATCGATAAACCGCATGGTTGTAGAGGACTCCACAAGAGCACACCAAACTGCAGCCAGAAATTACTCATCAAGAACCGAACCATCAGAAAGTGACGCTCAGTTTACTCCAAATGACAATGAGCTGCAGCTTCAGGGAGTATTGATAATGGATCAATAAGGCTGCAGGACGTGTATCTGAAATATTAAGTATGTACATTGATCATGTTGTTGAGTTATTTCCCTCTCTTCTCTCTCCAAACCCAGTTCAGTCTCAGCTAAGGCTGGGCGATATGGGAAAAAGTTAATCATGATATATTTTTTCATATCAGTTGATATTGATATATATCACAATATAAAAAAAAGTAACTTCAATTTTAGATGTTCCCTGTTACTCTTAAATGAAATGTAACAGTGTTTATTGGTAGCATGTCTTTTGCAATACAATAATCTGCATCTGTGAGGTCTTTGTGTCTCTTTGACGTTTTGTCGTGAGGCGTTGCGCTAGAGAAAACAGACTGAATGGTCATCTGTTTCGGCTGCACAGTGCTAAAGTGCTATGGTTGGGTGTAGCTGCAGTTGTTTGCCACTTGGTTCTAATTCAGCACGATTGGTTCAGCGTGACACAGACCCAGAGCAACTCCCTTTTCATTCGCTATTTGTATAGACGGGTTTCTGTGCAATGTCATCGCAGGTATGCACACGCAGCCAGGGGGCAGAAAGCAGGACATTTGTTTACTAACGAAGTCAACAGAGAAAGAAAATGACGAGGAGATGTTGTGATGTAAACTTCACGAATCAGCAAAACAAACAACCGGCAAGTGTTTTTCTGATTTTGATGCAATTAAAGACAAAGTGATTTTTCAATGAAATGAGATTTTATTGCAAATGATTCAGGAAGAACTTCCAACCAGATGGAAGTTCACTCTGAAGCAGGCTTTTGCCCCATGTTCCCACGCACACCTAGTATTGTTTGTACACAAAAAAACTGTCTGTAGTCTACCAAAACATGGCAGAATGACAGCTATCGAAAAGCATATTGACCATATTTCATATCGATATCGAGGAAAATTAATTTTTGATATTTATCATTATCGTTTTATCGCCCAGCCCTCCTCTCAGCAGATGACTGTCTAACATCAGTCTGGTTCTGCTCGAGGTTTCTGCCTGTTAAACAAAGTTATTCCTCTAAATGCTGTAAAGTGTTTCACTCATGTGGTTGGAGATGGGATAGAGTCTGATCTGATCCCATCTTAACATTAACTCCTTCCTTGCGTTATATAAATAAAGGTTGATATTCTTCCAATGAGGTGGAAAATGAGGAGTTACAGATCAGCTCTGAAATGTTCCTGATTACCACACCAGTTTGGTGTTGTGCTTTAAGTCTGAGTCCAAATAAATAATTTCTATGAAGGAATAAAAAGCTGCAACTAAAGAGCAAACAAAAGCACATTGTTGGTTTTAGTTATGAATTTTAAAAAATGACCACAAAGGAATTATTATGCGGGTGAAAAGCCTCTGAGTTTGGTGTATCACTGTATCTCTGTAAACTCTGTGTTTATTTAACTCTCAGTGCTGCAGGAGCTCCTGTTCCTGAAGGATCGCTCCAAACATCTCATTGTGGTTCTCCGTGAACCGCTGACTCTCTGTCCCATGTTATTATTTTTCACTTTCTCTAAATTTTTGGGATATTTGAACATATGAGTCACTCAACTTTCACTGGGAAAAATACTGTTTTGTTTTATGTAAGATTTCTCCTCCTATATTTAGTGTTTTTCCTCAGAGTTGGTGCCAGTTTGAGAGAGGAGAGATAAAGTACTGAGATACAAATCAAACTTCCTCCTGCAGGAAATCAGTTTATAAACCTAGTATGTGTGTCAAATCCATTTCGGGCGTTTATTTCACTTCTGGGCGTCTTTAGAGAAAAAAACTTCAACATGGAGTTTAGTTTATTTATCACTGAGAGGCGATTCACTAAAACCAGACAGACCGATTAAAAGTGGAGTTTTAGAAAGACAAGGGCTGCACCTCTCAACTCTGTCCAGCAGAGGGCGCTTCTTCTAAACAGAAAATAATGACATTTAATGACAAACTGATCACAAGTGGACTCTTTTCCTCTGCAGCATTCACACGGAAAATAAATGAAACCTTTAAAATGAACAGAAATAAAGGAGGAAGCCAAGAGAAGGTGTCGACCTCCTGAGGAGCAGAAACCAACAGGAGGAGTGAGCTCAGCCTCCTTATAAAACCTCACAGCTGATTATGACCAGCTGAGGGAGGACACAGGTGTTCCCAATAACTCCTGATTAATTCATGAAGATGGTGGCGTCGATCTGGAGCTTTGTCCTTAATGCAAAATAATAAATTAATAGTGAAATGAAGTTAAATATCCCATAAATTTGAGATTACAAGAGAAAATCTTATACAAATATAACAAAATAGAAATTTTTCCATATTTGCTTCGTGTTAAATTCACTCCAATAATATTTCCTTTGAATGATGGTCAACGCAGCCTGAATATAAAATCACATCATCTGCTGAACTTCCATGTCTGTGTTCATGATCCAGTGAACTGTTCGAGATGTTCCTCATAAATCAAACCACAGAGACACAGCTGCAGGAGATACAAGCTTGAGTGTGATAATGTTGTGAAATCTGACAGCTTTGTATCCTGACTTCATGCAGCATACTTTTATCTGCTTCAGGAACAGGATCTGAGCTGCAGACTCCCACCGAAGACTCTGTTTCCTCTGTTATTTCCTCAAACTTCAGAGAGTCAAACAAATTCTTCGTTTATCTCTCATCTTCGTCTCTAAATCAGCCGTGGTTTTGGTGAGCTATAGTTAAGATCAGTCACAAACTAATTACAGGAAGAGGAGTTCATGATTGGGTTTCTTGATTTCAGCAAATTACTGCTCTTAATTCAAGAGGTTTTCATGAAACCTAAAAATGTCTCTGCCATTTCAGTGTGATGGAGTTTATTTGTTTCTACTGCGATGAAGAAATGAAGAAACACAAATGAGAGGGTTACTTTGCTGTGGGCCCACTTTCTCCCCCAACCAGAGATACAGAATTCAACTCTATCAGACCCACTTTCTTTGACCGGAACCAGCATTTATAGATCTTGTTTCAACATGCTTTTGTTTTACTCAAAATCTGACACATTTACTGCCAACAGTGCAACTTGTTCGGCAGCAGCAAGGCCAGAGTTTCAGGTGTGTAAGACAGTGCTGTCACGTCTCCTGAAAGGCAATTCCTGCTGTCATTTTGCACCGATACCTGACCTTTTGTTGTTTTATCACCATGCAGTTAAGCTAAAACTGGGCTAGCAGACCTATTGCTTGGACTCCCACATTTAGAAGTCATGGCCCTTTCAAAGCAGCAGACCTGATTAAGAGTCACAGCATCCCAAAACTGACCAGAAAGTGACCCACTGGACAGCAGAGGCAGGACCAACGATGATCTGTAAGGGTTAATGTGAGACTGAGAAGCAGAAAGGTGAAGCAGAGAGAGTCGGAGGGGAAAAACCGACGAATGTCCCGAGGCTGAAGCTGCAGAACAGTTTAGGATAACACATTTATTATTTAAAAATAACAAAGTTTCAGCCGATGATGTCAGTGCCACGCAGAAACCTGCTGGCTGCTGCAGAAACAACATTTACTTTAACCGTCCAGAGTAATATTAGTCTCTGCACATGTGCAGCAGCAGCAGCGATCCAGCGGGGAACAGGAGTCAACGGTCCAGATGAAACTGTGCTGGGGTCGATTTTTATTCTCGCTCCATTTCTGTCCACCGTGGCAGTATTTTAGATTAGTCATGTTTTTAATAGTTTCATCACTTTTTGTGCCGTCATGCAGAGCTCATAACGGACAGGTGAGCTCTCTGATTGGATCTGGAGACAGAGTCTGAGCACAGGTGACCCCGCTGTCAGAACGTAAAGGTGAAAACTTGATCTGATGGAGGGAGCTGTTTTAAGAAGAACCGTAGCTGCTGTTTGTTGTTGTTCTCGGTTTCTCTGGTGCCAGTTTCCCTCTTTGTGAGTTTGATTGTTTCCATTTGTAGGCAGTAAAACATCCCAGAGGGTAAATGAGGAAACTCTGTTCACTCAGTATCAGGGACACGTGTAAAACCAATTCAGCGTAACTTCAAATCTAATCAACCTGGAGACGGTCCCTCTGTTTTACTCGAATATGAAAATATACAGATACAGCAGTGACGTGACTCCTTATCAGAGATTCTTCCTGTTTTCTTTAAATGAAATTACAGATAAAGACAGCTCCATTAATCGTTTAATTTAAGTGAAGAAGAGTTCGCTCGGATGACTCGGGACGGAAAGAATGTTTTTGTGTCTAAGCAGGACTTGAGTTTTACTGCCGACGGATTAAACTGTCGGCATGAAATGGAAAAAAAAATTTAGAAAGGAAAAGAAAAGAAGACACAAGAGGAAGACGAGAAAGATGAGATATTAGAGACAGAGGTAAAAGAAAGAAAAGCCGGGTTATTAAGGTGCAGAAAGAAAGTATGAAAGGCCGAACAGAGGGCTAAAATATATGTTTGAATCAGTGAATAAACATCTGAATATAAAAACTGTTTTCTTCTGTTTCCTCGAAATGAATTTTTTATTATTCTAATATCTTTTTTAAAGATCGTAGTAGACCATCATCTCACACAAAAACTTTAACTTTGAAGTTCTCTGGTCATGAAACTCTGTAAACCTCTCGATCCAACATGGAACAGTTTCAGTCTCCACAAATATAATCTGTTTTCTGTTTTCTGGACTAACCACCTCATTGGCTTTCTAATGAACTAGCCTCAGGCTTGGACCGTGAACTTTGACCTTTTCCAATCCCATGATGGTCGCCAAAATGCCAATCTCAAAGTTTAACAAGGCAGTTTCAAACTTCATCCAATTTTCCTGCAGTTGTGTATAAACCAAAAACAAACTCACATTAAAACACAGTTAAAACCGTCTAATCCAACTGCTATGTCCCTTGAGATAAAGAGACGCAGGTTAAGGTGACATGTGCTGAGGATGCCCAATGAAAGGCTACCTAAAGTTGCCCTGAGATGGACCCCAGTTGGGAAGGCGAAGGACGGTGACGTTGGAGCTGAAGGAAATGGGTCTTTCCTGGGACGAAGCACAGGCCAAAGCACGAGACAGGGTTCAGTGGCAGTGTATGACTGCGGCCTTATGCCCCAACCGGGACGAAGAGGATAAGTAAGTAAGGAAGTAAGTAATCCAACAGCTCTCCCTCTCAGTACAGATATTTGTTTTGTGTTTTCTGTACAAACTTCTGTACTTGTTATAAGAAAGTAAACCTGACAACAGAAGAAAATAACAGAAATGTGACGTTAACGGTGAAAAACATCTCAAAAGCGTTCATCCTCCTCTACTATCTAGTCATCTTGAATGTGTTGTGAACTTCTCTGACCTTTTCAGATCTGATCTACACTTGAAATCATGACCGGCCTCTCTCTGTTTTGTCCATTTTCATTCACACTGACTGTTTAATTCATATCTCAGTGTTTGCTGCTCGGCCTCCACACTGCAGCTGCTGTCTTATACGTTCATCCCACCTCCTCTGCTAATATCACTTTCTGTGATTTGTAATGAATCCACTTTTAAAGAGAGTCTTTAAAAGTTATTATTAGCGTGACTCCACTTTGACACTTGAGTTTACTGCGAGTCCACAAACACACTTAACGCACTAAAAGGTTTCAGCTTCATGTTTATATCATTAAAGTGAGAGACGTTCATGAACGGGCCGATAAAGTGTGTGATGTTGTTTTTGTTTTTTTGCAATCATCTACATTTTCCTGTAAAAACTTCACACATGAGAGGAGAGGATGTCGGAGTGAAAACATCTGCCGCCCCGGAGAGAATCTGAGGAATGTGGTCCGAGGAGAGCGCTCTTATCAGAGTGTGGTTTTAATCCCATCCTCTCTCTCTCTCTCTCTCTCTCTCTCTCTCTCTCTCTCTCTCTCTCTCTCTCTGCTGTTACTGTACCTCCACTGGAGGTCAGGGGCCTGGAGGAGTCGCAGTCAACCTGAATGAGTCTGTGAGGGACGGGGTCTGTGTGATCTCAGAGAGTCACAGGTTTGGATGTTTGCCGCTCAATAAAAAACTAATCTGCGTGTAACCGCTGAGTTCTGCTCTGTGCTGAATGTGATTTTAACTACATGCAGATTATTGAGAATACATCATAAAGTAATTGCAGCTCAGAGGAGCACAATGAAAGTCTAAAATTATACACTTTAGTGAGTTTCCTGCAGCGAAAACAAAATGCAATAAATCTGATCAGGATGCATAAGTGACTCTGACAAGTTTGAGTGAAGACGCACCAAAAGACTCACTCGTGTTCACATTTGAGAGGGACTGTGGTTAAAATAATCACTGAACGTGTGACTGAGTGAGGCGTTCATAGTTTCACTCTGCTGTAACTCTGTGTCTGAATAAAAAGAGGGAGTTTTAACAAGAGGAAACTTCTTCATAAGAGTCTGAAACCTTCAGTGAATCATGTGATCATAAAGTCAAACACAAATCAAAACTTTTTAGGTTTAAAAAGTTCAGTCCTTTACCCTCCTCCTGTGTTAGAGTCTGCACCAACGCGCTTTTGATTTTAAATGCTTAATAGAAACACTTTTTTGCATTAAAACTTTTTGACCTTGTCGGGAACCTCTATGTCAACAAAATAAAAACAAAAATTTTAAATTGACTAAATTATAAAATGCTGTCATTAAAGTTATGGCACTTGTCGTGTTGGGGTTGCTGTTGTTTTAGAGTAAAAATCAATAATTAGAGTAAAAGCCGAAATCATAAGTGCACTGACAGTCAGATCATCTTCCAATCATGTGAGATTTAGGAAATTCTCATTTTTCATGTTTTTCCTGCATAAAAAACTACATTGAGCATGTCCAGACATGTGAGATCAGTTCAGTATAGATGTCTGTGTGAGGGATATACTGACAAAGAAAGGCCCAGAGGACCACAAAGAAAACTATTAGAAACAATATTTTCATGGATAACGAAGCCGAACAAGAAAACCTAGAGATGAGAACCAAACTGGATGATAGAGAATTGTTTTTAGTGTAATTTACAGCTGATTTTACAGCACTTTACTCCTTGGTTTTTAACACATTGTAGTGTTATTTTGTTTGATATCATCATAGCGCTGTGAGCCTGCTTATTTATTTATTTATTTATTTATTCATGCATTTATGTATTCTTGTTTGCTTTATCTTGTTCTTTGCTTGTTTCATTTGTTTTTATGTCTCAATGTACAGCACTTTGGCTACCCCCGTGGTTCTTTTAACTGTGCTATAGAAATAAAGTTGATTGATTGATTTAAGACACGGTTCAAACCTGACCCTTAACATGGTGGGTGTGTAGTAGAAGCTAAAACAGGAGGAGGGTTAAAAAATGTCTTTTCTTTGGTCCAAATGAGCAAATTTATTCATTTTCTGTTACAAATCAGTTTTGACTTCGTCTTATTGTCTGAGTTCACCACAAAAATTCTAATATTTTAGGTCTAAACACTAAACAGACTCCCTTGTTATGTCTGAGGCCGAGTATCTTCTCCTCTCTCTCAGATCTTTTTGTCTTTTCTTGTTAGATTTTCTTCTTGGCAGCTTCAAACACTCAGAGAAGGATTTGCACTCTGTTTGCTCAGCACTCAGCCCGACCGCAGCGGGACCCGGACTTTCAAACACGCTGGGGATGCCGCAGAAATGCCCGTTTCAATCAGAGGGAGCCAAAGCAGCTGGAGGGACGGTAAAAAAGATGAGTCTGCTGGTGGTTTCTGACTCAGGAGCTGCAGATAGTAGGAGAGCGTTTACAGCTCGACTGCTCAATGTGAAAGTCATTACAGGCTCCTGACTTTTATGGCTCTTGTGGAAAGATGCAGAGCCAGCGGAGTGAGTCACCGATGGAAGGATTGCATGTGTGCAGCTACAGCAGTAAAAAAATCTTCACTGCCTTCCCCACCTCCTGTTTTTTTTTCTTTTGGCTACACGCTGCAGAAAACCACCAGGGATGGAGAGGAGCTCCCACGCTCGTAGTTCCACCTCGCCAACTTCATCAATCGGAAAACGGTTGAGCAAACCGCAACTACATGATCATTCAGCAGGGGGATCATTCAGCTTCAAGACCCCATTAAAAGCTTTCCCAACATCAAAACCCAGTTTGAACCGTCAGCTATTATTACAATCCTAGTCTGAAAAGGTCAAGCGGATGAAACCGGCGTACTTTGGTTTGCAAAGACTCTCCAGACCCCGATCAGAGAGACCCACCATGTTTGAATGAAGTCTTTGAGGAGTTTGTGGCACAAAGATCGGCAGCGGTCTTTGCTGGTTCAGTGTTTAGACTGGCGCTCCCATGGCTCCATGTGAATCATCAGCCCTGTGGGTATGACCACATGACCACAGGTTTGGTAGATGCCCCGTCATGGAGCCTCTTCAGTAAACTGGTGTGATGAAAGGAAGGCTGCCTCATCTCTTATAATGTGGGGATTAGAAATAGTCTGTATTCTCAGAATATGTCAGGTATCAAGCTGAGTTAATGTCCGAAAGGCTTCATTTTTAACCCTTTAGTGTATTAACCCAAACTCAAAAAATCGAAAAATGAGTGGGATAACTTTTGATGTGAACAATTTAACAAATGACCACATTTTCCCATACAAGTTTGACACGAGTAACTCAATAAAGTATTTATTTTTAATATTTGACAACATCTAAAATGCATAATAATAAAAATAATGCATCAGATTTCATATAGCGCTTTATCAGAGACCCTGTATATTGGATACGTCATTCATTCGCTCACACAGTCACACCTTGGTGGTGGTGAACTAACTTAGTAGTCACAGCTGCCCTGGGAAAACTGAAGGAAACGTGGCTGCCAGTTTTGCGCCCACGGCCTCTCCAACCACCACCACACAATCACCAGTGGAGGACACACAAGGTGGGTTAAGTGTCCTGCCCAAGAACACAACGGACAGAGTAAGGATACGGAGGAATCAGACCACCAACCTTCCGGTTACTGGACGACCGCTCTACCTCCTGAGCTACTGCCGCCGTAAGAATCTTGATTCTGTTTGTATTTAATTATGACTAAAAAACTAACCAAAAATGCTCATTTGACAACTACGCTTCATATCACTACTAGTCAACCTAAACTACTCATCATCTTCATAATTACTAAAGAGATCGATCATTAGAATCAACTGCCAGTTTCGGTATGTTGATGAATTGTTAAAGAATTTCTGCTCTCTCGTTTGGAACAATTTCTGTAAGTTTTTGACATTTTCATCAAGATACTCAGTACTTTTGTGGTCTTACCTCCACGTTGAGAAATCAAATCTGTATTCTTGAACACTGCTGCTTAGCTAGCTAGCTTTCTAGCTAACCTTTGATTCGGTAGCTAGCCTTCTTTCTATGTTAGTAGATAGCTAATGTTCTCACTTTTATTTTCAGGCTCATTACTTCATGCAAACTTAAAATGGCAAAAAGGAACGATTGTAACACAGTTCAGGTGCCTCCAAATCGGATTTGGATGTATTTTACATGTCTCAACTCTTTCTGCGTATGGTCATTCTACCCGATCAAGGCGGGCCAAAGTGAGAAGCTATCATATCTATATCATATCATATCTTTATCATGTCACAGTGGTCCCCAACCTTTTTTGTAGCAGGGACCGGTTTCATGCAGGAAACTTTTTCCAAGGACCGGGTAGGGGCGTGGAGGTTCCAGTAACAAAAACCTTAATCCGTACATAGTATGTAATCTGGATACAACAATTACACTTTATATTAGACACTTTTCATTACACTTTAACATCAACTCACCATAATGCAGAATCAACCCTTCCTCTCTACAGTGAACTCTGTTTCTGGCTCATTTTTGCGAGGGCAGTCCATGGACCAGTACCAGTCCAGGACCCGGTGGTTGGGGACATCTGTCATATCGTATCATATCTACACAGATCTACATATCTGGAAAACAGAACCAAAAACAAAATGTCCTGCTGAACTCAATGACTACAGACCAGCAGCCCTCACTTCACACATCATGAACAAACTCTGGAGCGGCTGATTCTACGCCTTCTGAGCTCTGAGGTCAAAGACAAACTCGATTCCCTGCAGTTTACATACAAAGAACACATCAGAGTGGATGATGCTGTCCTCTACACGCTTCACCGTGCTCTGTCTCATCTAGAGGGACCTTGGGTTTATCTGAGGATCATGCTCTTTGACTTTTTAAGTGCGTTCAACACCATCCAACCCACCGTACTCAAAGAAAAACCTTCATGAGAGTCAGAGACCAAAGATTTGAACAAACTGTGTTCGTATCATAAGTCTTTGTTTCCCCGGAGGTTATTTTTTAATTCATTTACCAAAAGCTGAATCAGACTCCACTGTGGAAACTCTGAGCTAAGTTCATATCTATGAAGATCTGCCCCATGAGGACGAGTTTGCTCTCTAATTGAGAATATCCGGGAAGAGTCTAAACGCTGACTGAAATACTTTTACAGAAAATCTCACAGAGGGCGTGACGTGAGAGAAAACAAGCTGCAGAAGAGGAGGAAGAAAGGAGTAAAAGCACGGGTTATACGTGAGGGGAAGGAATCCTGGGTTTCTGCACATGCTCTTTATGACTCACTCTCCAAAATAAAGCTTCGCACCGTCTGAGGGAGGTGATGTTTTCTGTTTAATCCAGATTCTGCAGGGTGGTTAGTCTGGGCAGTGAACCACACCGAACCGCTGTTAGTCACCTTCAGCTCGTTGTGGAAACTCTGACACAGACGTAGCAGCAGCTCCTCTGTTTTTGTGGTAGTTAGATGAGCGACAGTGTTTGTCTTGATTTGTTTGAATCTCTCCGCTCAGTTGCTCTTCGTTTTTCCTCCACTGACTGTGAAGTACACCGACACTGACACATGGATGCAGACTGAAAATGAAGTACACATGCAGGCAGTCTGAATCACAGCGCCCGCTTTTCTGCATACTTGTTCTTCTTGATCGGAGAACACCCACGTAGTCGGGTGCACAATCACGTCATGACTAATCCAGAAGCAGAAAACACACTCTGAGATAAACTGCATCGCATCTTTCGTCGGCTTTGTATAAAACGATGGGTCTGTGATGGAGAGCAGTGGCAGCTGTCAGAGATTAGAAAAGTCTGCTGGGACGAACGAGTCGCTGATCATTTGGTTTCACTCCCCAGGGCGAATATTCGAGTTTGCACATTGCTCTTATAAATCTAAATGATTGTGCTCTTGTGCGAGTCCCCCGCAGCTGTTTGATTCTTTCACTCATCTGTCGAAAAGTACAAATTCCCACCCAGCGGAGTGAATTTATCATGTCTCACCACTAATTGTGAGCAGTTGTGTTCGTTTGGTGAGGGTTTGGGATCCGGATTATCGTCCTCTTGTGTCATGTTGTAATGTGTTAACAAGATTTAACTCTATGTGATGTGGAGAAGGACGTTTGAGCAGCAAAGTGTTAAAAAACCAAGATGACCAAATCAGACCGAGGCAGAAAGTATGTAGACACCCGCTTCGATCAGACCAAAACCAATCGCATTAATCTGCTGCTGGTTTGAGTCTTTCCTCCATGTGACCGAAAAACGAAAGCTGCAGTTCCTGGAGAGTCCACATGAGGCAGGCTCCAAAAGTCCAGGAGATCCACTATAGATCCTCTATAAGATCTTCATGCGTGAGTTTTTTTCCCTCTACTTTGGTCGAGAAGCGGTTTTCAATGATTGAAAACATACAGCGGTCAGACTGAAGAAGATGTTTAGACAGTATAGAGTCGGTGTTTTCATCGCAGTGTGATTTAAAACATATTTAGTTTATCTCTTCATCACAGACGTCAAAGTCTGTCTATGCCGGGAGCAGTGGTGTGAGTGATACTGGTGATGGAGAAGGATGGAGAGAGGAAATCCAGAGAGTTCATCAAAATAATGGACTGTTTGAGTCGCCCTGGAGGAGCGATATCTGAAACTTCTGCTGTGGTTGGAGAGAGAGAGAGAGAGAGAAAGAGAGAGAGAGAGAGAGAACTCGTCCCCGGGCTGTTCATCGATCAAATATTTCACCGTCTTCTCTCCACACAGAGACCGAGCGCTCATGTCTCTTTGGTTTGCTTTGAAATGCTGTAGGTCTCATCTCTCAGAGGACGTCTCCATCCTCCTTCAGGGTCCACAGGGTCCACAATTTAAAGGAAAACTAATAACACACTCAGAGGTCTGTGAGAACTGAAACAGGGTCATTTTAAAACAGTTTAAATCACTGAAGTCGAACTAACAGATCAAGATATTTTAGGGGTGTTTGTGTGAGTCATTAGAAAGAGGAGTCGGTTGTTATTGGGGAGGATGTGTTTTTGAGATTCTTCAAGTTATCAGAAGTTCAAAAGTTCAAACACGGTCCATTCACACAGTCTCTAAATGTGGGAGTAGACTAGAGGTCATCTGAAGGGCCTTTTTTCAAAGTCTAATCTAAGAGCTGCTGATATGTGTGATAATAAAATAAGTGTGGATCTAACATCACTTTTAAATCCTCAACATCTGTGAGTCCTGAAAGTGAGTCCTCTCTGGTGCATTCAGTGGCTTTCAGAGTTGTGGTGCAGGTTTCAAAACTATAGTATATGAAGGTTCAAAGTAGGAGGGAGGATCTTTAATTTTGCCTAAAACGCCTGATTTTGCAGCAGCTTTTCCGAAAAAAATTGCGGTGAGAGTTGTAATCATGTCACAATGCAAATAACCCACTGAGCAAAAGACGACTATTAGACATCTAGTTTTTCTTTAGACCCAATTTCAACCGTCTAGATTCTGTATTTTTTTTAGATGTTGCACTTTAACCCGTTATTCGATAACTAACTGAACCCC